GAAGATGAAACATGTGATACAAGCATCAAATTGTCCTACATGCATAGTTCAAATGATTGGGATTGAAAAAGGTTAGTGGGCCGATTTCCATAGCGTATGTGGCCCCGTCGTTTACATAACAGAAGTATTGTTTAGTGCACACTGTGCACTGCACAGAAGAACCGCATATCATGCTTGTCAGCTATGTTCAGCTCGTTACTTTCCACATGAAAAACGTGAAAAAACAGTGTATATATACATGTAACGTGAACGACACGTGGTCTTTTCTGATGGTCATTTGTTTTTGACCAATTACCTTCCATTTTTTGTTTATTAGTGAAACCTTTTGATCAATCACATTTCTACCAGCCATTCAAACCATTGGCATTCAATGAAATAAAACGTTCTTGTTTTGAATGACGGGTAGAAACGTGATTGATCAAAAGTTTTCACCAATAAACAAAAAATGGAAGGTAATTGGTCCAAAACAAATGACCATTAGCAAAGGACAGGTGTCCTACCCCCATGCACAACCAACCCTCACTCACCTGAAGATTTTGTGTGCATGACTGGCACGCTTTGTGAGACCGTTTTTGGTACACCTGCAGGTGTAGGTTTGGTTTGCTGGGCTTTTCCTTGATATGCAACGTTAGAGTCTTTCTTGGATTGTACTTTTGGATTTGGCAATGGAACTGGCTCCATAAGAGGGAACGATGGTTGTATTTCTTTGAGTTGTATTATATGAAGTCCGTTGCCAGAATCGAGACATGATGCGACTTGGAATTGTCTTGCAGGTAGCAGTAGAATTTCATCTTCTTGGTTTATGAATGAATGCTTTTTGACATCTTTTCCCGTATGACAATCTATTTGGAATAGGGTCCTGGTTCCAGTTTTTCCAAAAAAACTTTCACACTCAAGTACTTCGACGGACGAGGTACATGATGAAAATCCCCACCAAATACAAGTGCTGCCTTTTGGATATTCTGTCCGTAAGTCTTCTTTGACTCCTCGAACAACAAAACGACGCTCCGACGGAAGGCGAGCCAGTGCTGTCAATACGAGTCGAAGGTAAAGAAACCAGGGGATCAGTTTTTGTCTTTGTTCCGAGCGTAAGGTTGCATTAAGAATGACATACAGGGAGTTTTCACGTGGCATTGATTCGTAGGTGTAAAGCATGATAGAAGCAGATTCATCACTTGTTAGACCATTTTCTGGTTCGTTGCAATTCTGTTTGACTATAAATACGTTGCGTTCGACTTTAGGTACGATGTTAACCAGAGGTTTCACAGCTTCCTCAATCGATACAACTGGCATATTCTCGTACCCTTCGATTGGTGCCAGCATTCGTTTTGATAACACACCAATATCCGCAAAGCGATGAGCGGAATTTGCTTTGCCACCATTGCTACAAGCCATCTGAAAGTTAAAACATGTGGGACACTGTATCTATCATGCCCTCCAACTAAAATATTCATAGAAAGCTCTTTTAAGGTGGGTTATTTACCAAATCGGGTTATCTACTACTGAGAAAGGCAGGTGTAAAAATGGAACTCCATTCTTGCGGCAGGTTAACAAAGCTAAATATAATCATCAGTTACAATCGGAAACACATTTATTTATTCAGTTATCCTTCCCTTGATAAGCTAACTAAGTAAAACGTTTGCTCTGTTGCGTATATAATATCAAGCGCGAAGGAAACCTGCAGTACTAAGTTCAATTAAATTCTTTTCTTACCGATGAAGAGAGAGAGAGAGTGAGAGTGGTATACGACCGGAAGTCTTGTTTGTTTGTCATTTCTGCGTACTATTATCCATTTCAAATAGAGGGCGGGTGGATAGTTTTTAAATAACTTCTGATGGGAACAAGATGAACAACTGCAAGTTTCACCATTGGACAGAGAATGACCAGAATCATAAATCTGTACTAGAATTTGAGTAGCGCGACCTATGTCAAGTTCGAAAATATCAATGCGAGTGGTTACTCAGAGAAACTCGCATTTGAAATTTCCAGGATAATATTTTGCTGTCATTTTCCCATGTGAATCCCAATCAATAAATGATTCGTCGATATAGACATGGTCGATGTTTCTAGCTTGTTCTCTTCAGGAGCTCTATGTGTTTTTCCATGAGCTCCGATTTTTGTTATCTGATCTTAAATCAGCCCAAAGTGAGTGAAAAGAAGAAAATCGAACACGTTGAGTCAAATGGTACTGTGTGTTTTTAATTTCCTCGTCACTGTGAAAATACATAGTATGCTACAACTCATGTAAAAGCTACGTACTGAAACATGAAGGAACAATTGATTTTTTGGGATATTGAATGAAAACATTAGCAGTTTTTGAGTTAAATCGATGTTTTTATCATGAAAGTTTGAGAACAGTCGGCTGAGAATTCGCTGATGTATGACCGTATTATTGGAAGGTGGCTGGAACCAGAAACTGCCTGTTTTGCTAATCTTCGTCTATGAGCCTTAGATCCATTCGTGGAAGAGGCAAAACATTGCCACAAGAGTCAGCCCGGTTTAAACCCTGTGTTTTCATGTGAATTCAAACTCAGCAGGGTAAAAAAATGTGTTTTTCGAGAGTCTCCACCGGTGAGGTCGAGCACTCGAACTAAATAACGAAATAGGTTGTAACTTGCGCTGCTGTTTAGAGCAGACCCTGGGCTACAAAATATACGAAACCATTACTGACACCCGCCACATATGGTACGCCTTTATTACACTTGACATAAGATTCCTTGGCAGTAGGCGATGATATGTTTCAGCAACTGAATAAAAAAATAAAAAAATTCTTTTTCTTCTTCTAAACAGCATCATATATGTACTCACTCTGCTTTCGATGTAAATTGAAATGTTCCGCCGACATAGTTTATTGCTGTACGGTAGAAGAATGAAAATAAAAAGTGTGTGCTGACGATGGCGACCTTCAGAAAAATAGAAGTGACTCTGTTTGTTGTCGGCATTCATCTTATCGCAAATTGAAGAAACGAAAAGCAAATATGATGAGTCATGATGAAAAAAGAACCAACGATGGATGGTAAATAGAACACTTCTTCCAGGCCACGAGAGCAGATGAATTGAAGCATGTGGAAGTCGAATAAGGTGAGACTGAAACTGTTTCGACAGAACTCCGTTTCAGTATATATCAAACTGAACACCGAGATGCCGAATTCTAAAATCGAGAGATGGATAGAATGGGCAGATGCTCCACTATTCACTGCCGACAGAAAATGTCTCGTTTTTAATAATGGGTATTTCCATGGTCTCAATCACGCTTGCAAAAGTTGTCTCCGATTTTGATGACATCTTCACTGTTTTTAGAGAATTGAATTCCCAGTATTTTAAAAAAAGACTTTTCAAATAGCTCTTGTATTATGGGAGATATGGTCCCAATACTAAAAGCCCCAAAATCCCAAATGACTTGCGCAAAGTGTGTAGCCATGTGAAATTCTTCAAAAAGCCCTCCTCTGGCAAATTATGGTCGATCTTCAAGTACCTAGCGGCCGTATATTGAGCTTTTAATTAATCGAAAATTCCGAATTGTTCGATATGGTGGCATAGTCGATTCGATAGAGCATCGTCTGCTCTACAACCCTATGTGCATATAATATTCAGCATTTATATTTTTGGTTGTAATAGATGGTCAACTTTTTAAAGTGGTGCCATGTCCTATTTCTCATGCTATCGTTAGTGAGTGAGTATATTGAGTTTGTACCGATCAAACATTTCCCATTTGAATGAAATTTTCACCGATTGCTGAACTAAGAATACTGATCCTTCTGATCAAATAATATTTGACACTCGATACTTTTTAAAATGAAAATATGTCATCTATTGACAAACCTGAAAATCGATAGGTATGTCGATGGTGACGCATCCGTAGAGTACGAAATCTGGTTTCATATCGCATGAAACTGTCAAGATTATCTGTCAAACAACTTCTCTCTTATAGAAGTCTGGGCTCAATACTGATAGTTGGGAAAGCATCGAACATGTTTATGTAAATATGACATTTTGGTTGTTGTTCCTGTCCTAGAGAGAGAATGCCAGAACTGAATCAGCGATATAGTGGGATTGCATAGCACAACATGCACTCCACAACCAACAGGTATAAAGCCTTTAGTAGCCCCAAATATGATCGAAGAGGTAGACTCACATGCCTATAGTTCTAATTCGGACAACACCACTTTTTTTAATAGCCAGACTGTAACTCACAGTTTATAGGTAAATCGAAGGAAAGATCTGATTAGGAATTTCGACAACTACCATCTGAATTGGTCAAAATAGATACAAAAAAGTGTTGTGGCGATCTTTCCAACATAGAGTATGATCTGTGGTGAGGGTGGCCAATCGGCGTTTAGTACCAATGAGAAATAAGTCACTAGCGGAAATTTTTTTTCCCATTTTGACTTCTCTGTTTATTCGGATGCGCATGTCAAATCCAAAAACCGAAATCTGAGCGGTACCTCGGTTTCTGGCATAATGCTCGACGGGGTGATGGACTCTCTCTTAGGATCTTACCAGAATTTCTTTTCTTATTATGAGTTCTACAAGATAGATTTGCCCCCAAACCCTCGAGACAGCTCCACTGCTTTGCTTGTTGTTAGGGGTGGCTGTTTACCATTACTGTTACTACTGTAGTAACAACCGATGCTAGTACTTCTTAAGTAAAGTTTTAAAAGTTTAAAACTTTTTAAAAGTGGTCGCAAATCGAAACGAGTAAAGTTACATTAATCTGCTTTTCCAAAAAGTGACCACTCTTTAATTAATGAGTAATCAACAATTGTAATTTCAAATATAGATATACACTGAGCAATCGTCGCTTTCCAGAAACAATAGAAAAAGAAATATAATAAGAATTGGTGATAATACGCAGCAATATTAAAAAAAGCTACATCAACAGAGAATTTAGTCTTAGTCGCTACTATCTCGGGCATCTTTTATAACGTCTATATACCGATGATAAAGAGCTCGTAAAACGTTTTGTTAAATGTTTTACTGGTTATTGATCAAAATTAATCATTTTGCTCTGGAAGTTGGTTTTTATTCTGACGTTCGTCCATAAATCTAGGGATTAGTCTTTTTGATATAGCTGCGCATTATCTATAAATATATGGTCACCAATTCTCATTATATATGTTTCTACTGCTATTAGTTCTAGAAAGCGACCAATTTATATATCTATATTTGAAATTACTCTTGCGCTTGTTGATTACTCATTAATTAAAAATTGGGCACTTTTTGGAAACGCATATCAATGTAACTTTACTTGTTCCGATTTGTGACCATTTTAATACTATACTGAATATAACCGATCGTGATTAAAGCTAATTCAAGTGGTAAAATAGCGAAATTCATGTCTCACACCTGTTTACAGGGCGGGGCAAAAAGGTAATCTATCAACTCGTCACGTTTCACCCAAAAATACGCGCCTTTCGTAACAAGCTAAAATTACGTGCGTGACTTTTGTATCAGTTTTAGTCGTACCTTGTAGATTCATTTATACATCTTTACGCTAACTGTGTAGATGTCTTGTATGTAGAAGAATAATTTCCGAAAGCTTCATTCGATTTCCTGCTTCGCTAACGTTCGCGCACTCACTGTACTGGACAGTCTTCTCGGAAAACACTTAGCAGAGAACGAATGATGATTTTTTTCTGAAAAAAAAGTGTTAAAACAAAAATTCTCTTAATGAAACGATAGTGTAGAAGTTCTAGTCTCAGAATGTGTAGAGTTTGTTCCCAAACTCTTTATATCTCCTGTGAAAAATATTGTTTTTCTTTGAAGCAGCCCAAAACCAGCGGCTTTTTGTACCTAACTTTTCTCGATGACCTTAATCCGTAGAACCGAAATTTTTTCTCCAATAGATCGGCCATTAGTCAAAGCACATATGATGTTATTCAAAACTCAGAAAAACTTACTTTCGTTTTTCCACCTATTGTCCATATGACTGCCCACTGTGTACAGAGTCATAACGTTTCTTGTCAAACGCAGTTTTTAAGTACTATACTATTAATGTGTATCAAAACTCTTTTCATGCCTGTCTCTCCTCAAAATACTTCTTTTAATAAATTTGTGTCTATCACTGATTTATCGATTGCTTTTTTTGATAAAAGTTGGCATTACTCGTCGCTGAGATACATCACTGAATACATAACCAGATAAAAAAATGAAAAAGTATCTGCAGACAGAGTATTGCATATTGTTTGACCTAAACAGCAACAAAAA